CAGGCTGGGTCGGGTCTAATATTCATTTAAAAAATTAGGGGGATGCATGGCTAAAACATTAAATATGATTATTACTCAATTTTGTGAAATAAATTGATATATTTTAAAGTCCTTGAAAGAGGCAAGACGCCAGTATTTTTTATGTGTAGAATAATTTTTTTACAATTAAAAAAAAAAATTAAATTTTTCTATATTTAAATAAATAAGGACCCGGTCTGCCTGGCAAATAATTTTTATTTTGGGTGGAGCTATAAAAATATATTCCCTGACAAATTTTTAAAGAAAAACTTCGGGTCGGTGTAGGATTGTGAAATCAATGCCATATTGATATTCTCATTATAGATTCAATACCATAGTGATATTATTGTAGAATATACCGTATTGATTTTTAATGAGATGTTTTCATCGCTTAAAATATATTGGCGACCATTAAAATTGTAAAATATTTATTCATTATATTTTTTCTTCGTCGTTTCAAATATATTGGCAGCCATTATAATTGTAAAATATTTATTCATTATATATTTTTTCATCGCTTCGAAATTCGCGGCCATTTTCGATTTGCAAAAAATTTATTTAAAATGATATTATGAATATAAGTACCTTATTGATTGAATGAGAAATCTATAAAATTTTGTGATGGTTAATCTATAAAATTCTGTGATTTGCTCTTTAAGTGTTGATCAAAGTTTTGTAAATGATATTATGAATTCAAAAAAATTAAATGCACCTTGTTTGATTGAGAATCTATAAAATTTATAGATGTGTTAATCTATAATTGTCGATTCATCTATAAAAGTCGAAATCAAAAATTTATAAATTATATTTTAGATTTTCATGGTAAAAGTTGAGGTACTGTCATAAATTATCAATACGGTAATGATTTTACAATATTGTAGAATCAATACTGTTGATTTTAGATGGTATTGATTATAAAATACTAAACCAGCCTTCAGAAATTAGGCCCTATGTGGATCACTAGTGTTGTTAAAGTAACTAGTTACATTTTTGCTAAAAAATAACTGTAACTAGTTTTATTTCAAAAATTGTAACGAGTAATAGTAACTAGTTATATTTTTTGAAATGTAACTGCCAAAAGTAACTTTACTTTATAAAGTATTTTAAAATAGATGATTGTTTATTTTATTTTAAATTAATAATTTAATTTTATACAATATATTTTAAAATTTTACATTTTTTTATCAAACTAAAAAATCTGGTTTTTATAACAATTTTCATATTAATATATCAAAATTTATATAAAAAAAATCAATCTACACAATTTATAAAAAAATCAATTTACATGAACATAAAAAAACAATTTAAAGGTTAGTATTAATCGGTCATATTAACACTTTAAATAAATCTAAATAATATATTCCAGTAATTAATTTTATTTTTAATATGTTTTTTTTAAAATAATGTAACTATTAAAATTATAATACTATATCTATATTCTATGTAAAAATATATAATTAAAGAAGAGAAATAAAATAAAATAGTGTATTTAGGTTTGGTCGGCAGGACTTAATGACTTGGATCAAAAATTTTGATTGATATTCTTTGTCGTAGGTAGCAGCCTTTTTTGAATCACCTGTGATTAAACGTAACTTTTGCGCTATTGTTTTGAATAATTTTAGGGCTTGGGGTCCAAATGATCCGCAGGTATCTGATACTCCCGGAACATACAAAAGATTATTAATGTGGCTATATTTATTTGTTTTTGTATTTTCAGCTTTCGTTAGAGTTGAAATAAAGGATCTGACAAAATGATCTACACATATATAATTCCAAGCGAGGAGTATACCTTGATTCCAAGGGACTAGCGTCATTCCATTTGGGATAAAGCCAGAGGGTTCCACTGTAGAAGAAATATTTGCGGATTTCTAGATTCTATTGATGATCAAATTGATGGCATAGTGCCTAGATAATTTGCCTTTTGATTTGAAAAAAGACCGTATGGGGGGGGGAGGGGATGTATAAGGCTATCGATATGTGTTTCACAAGGAATACATGATGTAAGATTTCACAAAACGAAAACCTATAGCTATTCTAAGTTCTTCTTTGCTTAATAAACAATCTTAAATTAAAACTAGGTATAGTATCTAACCATTCTTAGCCAAAGTGGCATATAGCTGAGGCTGGAATTATTTGATCCCAAAAGAGTCGTATTTGTAATTCTTTATACTCGGGGTTGGGTTTAAGGGGATAAAGAGCGATGGAGATTTTCTTTGAACAGCTTTGATAAGTATTCAAAGCAATACTGTATCAGGTAAATTCCGGTCTCTTTGTCTTAAATTTGGATATGAGCTGCTTGGAGAATCTTTGCTTATTTAAAATAGATTCGAGAGTATTTTTAGAATGAACCTCAAGGTCTAATAATAAATCAAGCGACATGAAAATTGTTGATAAACGAAAGGCATGTAAAATTTTAGGAATGAACAAAAAATATTTAAATAAATAAAAAGCCTGATGAGCAGGTAAATGTTTTAAAATAATTTTCATTCTATTGAATTTTACAAGAAATACATCTCTGAAATGAAATATAACACTTTCATCTCCAATAAGTGAACCTAGGTGGATAAAGCTAGTTTTATCCACTACAGTAAAATTTTCAGGTGGGCAGTCCGATTCAAGGGTGTGATAAATTGATTTTAAAAAAAATTTTTAATTTATTAATTTAAAAGTTTAAATATCTGATTGTGTTCACAAAGGATAAGCAACAATAATATAATTTCCCGTCCAAATAATTTTCTTTTCTTAAATTGTTACATTGCTGGGTTTCATAATTTTGTAACATAATTCAATTAATAAGTCTATTTTTTAATATTATATTTCTTTACCTATTTAGCATATATATTCCATATTTTTTGCCCTCAATTTGCTGGTAATATTAATGGAATTTCATATAAATGTATTTTTTTTTAAATTTTACTAAATTAGATCATTGAACTTAGTACGACAAAGACTTAGATTAATTTGGAATTAAATAATTTGAATAAACTAATAAATTAGTAATTATTACTTATTTAAATTTTCAGGCCCGGCCCGGATATATTATATTTATTTTTGATTTTTATAGCTAATAATGGCGATTTCAAATATTTGGTTTAAAATATAAGGCCTAGCCCGGATATTTCTATTAAAAAAAAAATTATATTTTTAAAAAATTTAAAATACGTCCCGGCATGTGTATCCGGGCCGGGCTTAGGGCAGGGCTTGCGTCTCTAAATATAATCTATTTTCTGTTATTTTTTTCGGTTTAATTTTTTATATAAATAAATTGTATATTTTTTCAAATAATTGATTATAATTATTACATATTAATTTTTTTATATTAAATTAATGCGTTCAGTAAATAAATAATGCGTTTATGAAAGATGTATAAAGTAACTTATTATGTAACTAGTTATTTTTGAAATATAACTGTTACTAATAATTAGTTACATTTGTAAAAATGTCTAGTAATTGTAACTAGTAATATTTCAAAGTAACTTTTAGCAACACTAATAGATTACTAGTTTGGCGATTCATAAATTAAATGTGTACATACACATATAAGTGTCTGCTGTAGTGGTTTACACGTTGACTAATTGTCTTATTTTTCATTATATAAATATACATTATTCTTTATTAAATAGAGTTTAAAACCACTAAATTAGTTACAACAGACTCCTATGTATAGATACTTTAAAATGTTTAATAAATGAATCATCGATCTATAGTATATATACTTCATAGATCTATCTAAATTATTATTGGGTAATGATGTTTAGCATTATTTTTATTGTTAATACATCAAAAATTTTAGAACGAAATACTTGTATTTCAGTAAATGTAGAATACTGCTAAAAGTTATTTCCTCTAATGTATTAAAACAATGAATGCATTACCGCGAATATAATATCGCAAAATTAATCTAGAATGCATTAGCGCTAATACACCGTAAATATCATAGCAAATGTAATGGGGCGAATGTATAACTTCCAAAGAATTACAGGGAGTGTATTATAGCGAATATAATATCGCAAAATTAATCCAGAATGCATTTGCGCTAATACATCGTAAATATCATAGCAAATGCAATGGGGCGAATGTATAACTGTCAAAGAATTACAGGGAGTGTAATATCGCGAAAATATAGAGCAAATTCATTAAGGCGATGCATTATCGCAAATGAGCTCCTTCAGTTGCAATATCTGGATTGCTGTTTGGCAAAATTACATATCATATCACTTGAAAGACTTAGTGGAACTTGAAAATGGGCCTAAAGTCGGTCTTGGATCTAAAAAAAATAATTTGAATATAGAACTCAAGTTTTTCATTTTTTTTACTCAAAATATATGAAAAGGATTCTAGCCAATAAAATAGTTAATGTTTTCTCTAGGAGTAAAGGAATTTTATATTCTTTAATTATTTAAACATGTGTTTAATTACATTCCATAAAATTTTGGATAAAACTCAGTCATTTTAAAAGAATTTACTCTAGATAATCAAGAATATCAATTTTTTTTAAAAATTAACCTTTCATTCATCAACCAGATTCTCTCCCCACCCCCTTTTTCATATCCCCACCCCCAATTGATTCTTCTTCAATCTTAAGACTAAGGCCTCATCTATGATAAACGCTTTATGTTCAAGCGTTCGTTAGTTGATTCTTCATAGCGTTAACAATTTTTGGAAAATACGTCGCAAAATTTGTTTTTCAAATTTTATCATAGCGTTAGCATTATAACACTTTATATATAAAAATTATACTTATTTATTGGCTTGATATTATTAATCGCGCAACGCTTGAATATATCGCGTTTACTATAAATAAGGAGTAAGTCAATTCTAAAATCTATAATAAATTTAAATGAGCCTAAGCTATGAATCAAATTCAATATGTTATTTTTGTAAAATGATTTATTATATAATAATATAAATGTAATATAAACTTTATTTACAAAATCAAATTTTTTTTAAAAAAAAATTGTATAAAAACGCGATATTTTATGTTGTTTAATTAAGGAAAATCTATTACATAGTATAATTCTAAAATGAATGGGCTGCTGCGTATCAAATTCGTATAAGTTAATGCCAAATTAAACCATTTAAAAAAACATATCTAATTTATTCACGTAACAGCTAATAAATTTTTTTTTGTTTGGACGGAATTATATGAGAAGGGAGTTTATATTTTAAACTTTAAAAAACTTTTATTTTTAAAAAAAATGTATATAAAAAAATATATATTGGACTCATCATTTCATCATTATCTTCCTTAGTTTAATATTATAAATAAAATATAATTTTTTAATAATATTTATGTAATAACTCATATAAATTCTAAAATGCGGTTTTGATTTGGTAAATTCAGAGAAAAGTTATATTAAATTATAAATCTTATATAAGATATTACATGAAGAGGAGATTTTTTTTTGTAAGTATATACTATTTTAAAGCGATTCTAATTTCTGTAAAAAAAAAGTAATATAATATATATTATAAAGTAAACAAAATATAAAAATTTATTGTAATTTTTTTCTGCGAAATATCGTTATTTTAAAAAATATATCTATAATATATACAGTTAAAAGATTGTGTTAGAAGTTGCTGATTTCTATTATCTCACGAGCAAAAATCTTTTTTATCGAATGGGGATCTTTCTTATTTTTGGCTCTGTTAAACTATAACTTCATGCATTATCCTTTGAGAACTGGTTTCGCTAATATTGGCGCTGTGTAAATTGTTATCGTCTGGAAAAATATGTAATTCAAAATAATTTATCAAGTTATAAAATAAAATGTGATTCAAAAATGTATTCCTTTTTCATTTCTCAAAGAATGATAAAATATTTTATTTGTTTTTTTAAACTAGAGATTTATTTTAAGGGGTAGAAAATTTTTATTTTATTTTATAAATGAGTTAAAAGATTCTATTAATTGAAAAATTTTATTTATCACATTTTTTTTAAAAAATGAAAGAAAATGAACTTAATTTGTATTACTTATTATACACAAAAAAAACAACCAACATTGTTATTACCGTATATGCTACTATTGCCGTTTCGAGAATAATCGTTATTAATTCCCAAATTGGTGTGTGAGGAATTATTATTGCCACCTAAATTTAAATTAGGATTTTCAAAGTTGGGATTATACTCGTCAAAATCATCCTCATTTTCTTCCAAACTGGCCGCTAAGAGAAGATCTTCCGGAGTCCTGAATCTTTGCTGAAATATTTTCTTGCCGTTATTCGTGTTTGAGCTCTGATTATCATCATGAACATTATAGCCATTTCCATCATTTCTAGCGAGAGTGTCGTTATTATCAGATTGATGATAGTTTTGAGTATTTTTATGGTTCTTAAGCGTGTTATTCCCTATATTTAAAAAGGCATATATAAAAATAGTGATGCAAAATCGCTTCATCTAAGCTGATTTGTAAAAACATATCACTTAATTTTTTAGCCAGAAAAATATTGCTTAAGCCTCGAGATTTCCAGGCAAAAAATCTTCAGGGTTGCGTAATATTTCCTGAATAGGATATTGAGTTAGCCGTCGGCTCAAATGGAGCAAATTTTTATCACTATATTCGTCTTATTTCTTAGTCTTCAGCCGCCTCTATAACTTCCTCTAAACTTACTAAAAGAAGAAAGATACCATTTAGATTAAAGTGGGTAGAGTGTTTTTGTGACCCTTTTATAAGCAAAATATTTATTTAATATGCACCTATAAAAACAAACCATCCTTAGTTGAAAATCTCTAGTTTCAAAAATAAGACGAACTATGACCCGACCTGATGTCTATAATATAGACAAAAAATTATCCTGACTCGTATTTAAATCTTATATCTTACATCATTTATATTTTAAATTCATATTATATTTAAATTTCACAATATTTAAGTCGTGCTTTATGAACTAAACTATATGATTTTCGGTGGTTTTTCCAAATTTATAGTTGTTAGCGGAAATGTGTTATTTTTTTGAGCGCGTTTTATTTTAATTTAAAATCGGATTTTATAGGAAATCTAAGTATATTCTTCAAAATATGATATGTGATCCATTTTAGAGTGCTCATTTAATTATTTTCTTAAATATATTAACAGTTTGGAACCAGTGTCTAGAGCCCTGGGAATCAAAATCTAAGAATCGAAAGTGAAACAAAATTTATTTTAGTTCTTGTTTAAACCTCTTGTTTTAAAACTTTCCTTTCTTTCCTTCAAAATAATTTAAGTTTTACCTTTGGGGGTTGATTGATCGAAGTTAAGATCATTATAGTGAGTGTATGGTTCATCAACCAGATCCATTCCTTTATTGACGAATCCAGAATATTTCCTATCATCGTGGACATTTTGGTAATTCAAATTTCCGTTTGCGTATTGTTTGTTAGTATCGAGCGCATTCGAATTCATCTTTTGAAGGGTTCGGTTATAATTGTCATACGCAAAATGATCGTTGTTAATGTTATTTTTATTGTTTTTCATGTTGTTTTGCATGGATCGCTTCATTTCGTATTCCTTTAGCACTAATATTAGATTTTATTATTGTGATAAAAAAAAATCATACAGGTCAATAAACATTTATTTGTACTCTGATAGTATAGGGTAATGATGTATAGCTTTGAAAGATAATGATTTTAATATGTTCTTATTAAAATATTAGAGATGGTTTTGTGCTATGGGGTATGATATATAGAATATCGGAAATGGTCACTCCGTTAATATATATTTAATGAGTCTTATTGCATCTTAATAAAATTTAGTCACGTTTAACAAATTACTATATACCAAACTAGTTAAGGTCAACGGTCCTGTCCTATCGATTCAGATCGAGACCGGGCTGACCTTTTTTGAGGAACCGGTCTGGAGGTCTTTTTATTTATATGGTCCGGACTGGTATTATATCAATATTTAAGTTTGCCTCATTATTCAATAAAAAAAAAATTTTACCTTATTTTTTTGTATAATTTATTTTATGTTATTTTCCTAGAGGAGTTATTTTAGTTTTTGTGAATTTTTAGTTAATTTTTATTTTGCAATATGAAAACCATAACTGTTTCAAAGAAGCATTTTACTAATAAACAAGAATCAAATTAGTAAAAACAAAAATATTTTTAATATACCAAAAAATAAAAAGACCGGTCATTTTATTTATGACCACGGTCTAGATCTATCTCTTTAAAAGAGCATGGTCCGATTGAGATAAATAAATCATAAGAGCAGGTCGATAATATATAAAACATTCATTCTTAACCTTAAAGTATATTTTTTTAAATATAATTATTACCCCACCCCCTCCTTAATATTTATATTAAATCAATTAAAAATTATTTTGTGTAAATTTTTTAAAAAAAATTATACTTTTATCCTTGTTTTTCTTAAGGCAAAACACGATAAACGCTGTTATAAGTACCAATATTATTAGGACAGGAATAGATATCGCTATCATCACGATCGACGATTGTGGTAATGAATTTTTAGGAGAGTATTTGGATGGTTTTGGATCGCCTAACAAATATATCAATTTTTGTTATTAAATTATAGGCCCCCTAATTAAAATTTGATTTAAAATTTCATTTTCTGTCAAATATTATATTTTTGTAGTTTAATCATTCTCTTTAGAATGGCCAGAGATTCAGTTAAGTTTAGGAAAATTTTAGAATTTAACGTGTTTTCCCAACCCAATCCTCGGCATTCGTCTTTTTGAAAATTTAGCCCAAATTTAAAGGCATTTAAATGACCTCGGGACCCAACTTGGAGGTCTTCGGCATGCGCCTATAGTTTGAGCCAAAATAACTGATTTTTAATCATTACCCAACCGAACTATACTCAATTACTCTAGGGTGAAAAGTCAGGCTATCATATACCCCAACTAGAGTATTAAAGGGATTAGCTTACCTTACAATATACTGAGTAGTTGAATTTTATATAGATATCAACTCCAGAATATAAAAATATTGACTTATGATTTCCGCTTTTTCCTGCTTCCCACACACATTGATATTATCGTAAACTGCGCATAGCTTCACATACAATCCCTCTTTAACGTAATGACTCTGATTGTATGTATCATCCATGATATTGTTACCAATGTTTGCATCGTCTACGTAGTTCTTATTAGTGTGACGGTTACGGATATTTTTGAGGATCAAAGTCACGAAAGTGTCTTGATTTTTGTCTGAGGCATGAGGCAATCCTACGCAATCAAATAACACGTCATAATTTTGACCTAATATATTAAGGTAAAAATAAATTTTATTTAGTGCCAAAAATGTATATTACACCTTTATATAATGAAAAATGTCGTTAATTAAATGTTTTTAATAGGTTTTTTTTAAAAAAGGTTTAAAAATACAAAATATAAATTAAAACGGCTGAATTGCAAACATGTGAGTTTAATACTTAGTATGCATCAAGCTTACCAAAAAAATAACAGATAGGAAAGGAAAACTCCTCTAAAAATGTTAATGTAATTTTACTAAATAAAAATATATTATAATATTAAAAAAATTTTAAAAATTAAAATTTTCAAACTGTGTTCAGTAATTTTTGCGCATAGGCCATCAGTTATAGAAGTTAAGAAGGTTATCGTACCATTATATTCTTGATAAACTATTGATTTAGGGATCGGTATTTCTATATTTAATAATGTATTAAATGAATATATTAATATGAATTCATCCAAAATTAAATTTTTTTATAACTGTTGTTCTGAGCAGTCAGGTTATATGTGATTTTTTTTATTAAAAAAATATATATTCGCACAATATTTTTTAAAAAAATTCGAATTATAAAGATCTACCAATCCTACAGCAAACTGCAATCCTAAAAAGTGATTATGAATAATTTACAAACCTTTCTTATCATATAATCTGAATCCAGTTTCAATTGCCATGTAACTATTTATCGCAGGTTGACTGGTTCCTAAGACATTTTCGCTATCCACCCATAGTATATATTTAGTATTGGAATTTAGATCTAATTTATTAATTTTTTAGAAATCATTTATTATGAAATAAAATTGGAGTGGAGATGGGTTAACAAGAAACTTGTATACAAATTTTTTCTTTAAAAAGTAGGTACTATATTAATAACACGCCCATTTTGGAATATGAATTAGTTAATAATATTGAATATTAGTTAATAGTAAATTATTTTTAATTGTTGTTAAATTACCAATTTATGCAAAATTATACGAGTTTATCTGAATGACCTCAAAATTTATTGAAAATTGGCCTCGGGCCCTTCCCTATAATCATAGCCGTTGATAAAAAAATTATAGATTACAATCGATATTACTTTCAAGATCGAACTTCACCATATTTGAGTAAGCCGTTTGCTTCTGATGATTCATGTCGACGTGATTCATCGACGAATTGTAAAGATTATAGCCGAGAGGGGTAACTTGTAAGGATATTTTTTTGATACCGTTTCTAGCGAACAAAGAGTCCACGTCCACTCCAAACTTGGAGATATCATCTATTATTTCGAAGCGCCCTTTGGAAATATCCTATAATAATAAATCAGACAATTATAAATCTTATATGGGGTAGTGATTTAAAGAAAAATGATTTTATCTTCTTTTTTTTAAAAAAAAAGATATTTTTGACTCATATGGAGATCTGTACCTAAATTAAATATCGAATTTTGGAAGGTCATAGAAATCAGTTACTTGGACTTATATAGTGAATAAGCCTGACTAGATACTATTATTAGGTTATTGATCATAATTCATAACTAAAAAAATATATGAAAATTTATATAAACAAACTCTAGTTTGTCTATCGTAAACATCATTATTGACGTTTTGATCAGCTCCAAGATATTTATTTCCGCCTTCGATACTATTTTCCTCCCCGTCTTTAGCGTCGTAATCCGAGGTGTAAGTTAAATTCGAAACCTTGCAATAATACAAATTGATTTTTTGAAGATAACCTCCGTCGAATCCAGTGCTGCACAGAATACTCGCCGACTCGTGGGTTATTAAGTCGGATCTTAGGTCAGTGGGAGGATCGGGCTTGCCTTCATTTTTAATGGGTTTAATAAAAATTATAAAATTTTAGTTTAGTTTTTGGGTAAGTAATAAACTATTAAGCCAATTTGTTTTAAATATGCTATTAACCCTATAACCCATACCTCTAAGGATTTTTAACCCTACCTATAAGCGTGACCAACAAGTTTCAGATATATTTGTCTAACCGTACACCGGGAATTGAACAAAAGAGGGAGGGGGGGGGGGATGATATTAAATTGCTAATAGCTAAATAACTACCCATTAACCAATTATTGTAATGGGCAAATCTTGACTTTAAACAAAAAAAGAAGGAAAAAATTATGGTATTATGATTATACTTTTGGATTGCAGACTGATGTGGTGCTCGCTGAATCCCATGACATTATTAATTATGCAAGTGTACATTCCTAGGTCACCAGCATTGAGGTCATTAATTTTCAAAGTAGATTGGTAAATCATGTCACGATCTCGATTGATAATTTCGTTAGAATATATGTTATATTTTGATTCCATGTTTGTAGGATTGTTCTTTGGGAGCTATAAAAAAAGATAGAAGTAGTTAAAGTTATTTTTAAAAATGGAATTAAGCCAACCATATGATTATCGAATCTCCAATTGAATTCTGGCCTGGGATCCGAAGCGACTAAACATTTGAGGGATACAGTTGCTATTTCGTCTTCCAATCTATCATCAGAATTGCTATAAAATCTGCCTGCTCTATTCGAATTAACATCGCAAGCTACTTTATCTGGAGTAAAACTTTTGATAATTTCTGGAGGGTGGAGTACTCTCAAGGTAAAATTATTTCTTGCTGTTTCGGCAGTAGTAACGTTAAATAATAAAACAGTATCAAATAAAAGTCCGTGACCATCATTTAGTGACGCCGCGTTTAGATCTCCGTCATTGGTAGCTACGCAAGTATAAACGCCTTTGTCAGTCGGTGCTATGGGGGTTTTCCAATGCAAAAAACTTGTAACCTTTTATTTACAAAAAAAAATAGAGATTATAAATGATTTAATTTTTTTAAATAAGTTGTTGATATAGATTAACCGCTTTACATTTTTTGAATATCCGGCAATAACCAATCTCATACAATAATTGAAGTAAATTATTTGCTTATTTATTGTAGCAACCCAACAAACACTGGTCCATAATTACCCCGGATAAAAATTGAAAAATGAAAAAAAAAGAATTCCCAAAAAATTTTTCATTCTTATTTTTTTTTAAATATTAAATTGATTTTAGAAAAAATAATTATCATCAGATGACCGATATGATTAAGAGATTAATTTCGACTTAGGAGCCAATTTTTTGGACAGGATTAGGAATGGGTTGCCAGATGTGGGTAAAGATTAATATATATATTTTATTTAAATAGTTTAATTTTTCTCCTTCTTTTTCATTTTTGGTGAATTTATTTCTATTTCTCTAAAAACATGTTCCCAGTGAGGTTTTATTTATTATTAAAATCGGAATATCAATAATCAGCTAATATCATATTGATATCGATAAAAAAAATGGTTTGGGTCGATTTCCAATAATATTTATTAAAAAAATTGTTAAAACTTATTTGATTAAGATTTTCGTAAACGATTGCAAAAACAACAGCAAAATTTAATTTTAATAATTCTACTTTGGATAGGTATTGACTAAAATAGGCTGATGTAGACTCGTTGATGAAAAATCTTTTATTGATATCATCATCGTTATCAAATTCTTCATACCGATTTAAATGTTGATTATATCCCACCGAACTATACATGTTTAGATTAAAATAATAATTTAAATTAAATCGGAAAATAAAGAAAAATAAATATAAATTTATTAAGATTTTAATTTTAAACCTCAAGCTACTAACGTGGGTTAATTTGTAACGGAAGATATTAGGAGATGATTCAAACGTGTTTTTTTCCTTCTGAGTGCCCTGTCGATTTATAGGTTTTCCGTTACGGAACCATACAATTTGGGGAGCAGGTCTGCCTGTAAAACTGCATTCCAATTTAAAAAATGTTTGGGTCACATTAACCGTCATTATATTTGTAGCATCGGAATGATATCTTTCTGGTACTAATTTTGGCAAGGCTTTTTGTATGTAAATATTTTTTATAAATTGAAATAGTGATGTTAAACAGCTGTATTTGGGTCGCTTTTTAAAAATGGTGCATTACAGGCGGGTACGCAGCGGGGGAGGGGACAAATCCCCCCCCCCCAAAGCCAAAAAATGCAGATGCCGGATTATATTTTTCAAAAATATTATTGTTAATATTAATTTATATTTGTTAATATTTATTCTTATCTCATATATACATATATATATATATATATTTTATTTATCACATTCATCTACTAAGTAATTTTATCAATCAATTTCGATTTCAAGTTTTCCTTGGCGTAATTTACCTATTATTTTCAAATTTTAGTGGCGTAATATTTATCTAAATTTCTAATAAAATAATAATTATCTCTGAAACTCCTTGTCCAACAGGGAGAAAAAAATTGCAAGCTTGTCCAACGAGATCGAGTCTCCGCCACAGTAACAGCTATTTTGGAGTTGGAAGAGCTGATTATTAATGCTATTACTGAAATATCACAATGGCTTGAAAGAAATATTTCCTCAGAAGCAAGAAAATTATTGGATTCAATACTTATTCCAAATTTTTTTTCTCATTAGAATGTATTATTTAATTATACAACTATTTTATGTAATACTTTTAAAAACATAACATTGACTTGATTAAGAAGATGAGAATAGCGGAGAGCATTTTATTAGAACTCAAGTAAATAGAGCTAGTGTTGTTGAAGAATTTCATATTTTATATGTTATTGTTGAGTCAAAAGCAGAGCTATACGTGTTAAATATTTGTCCCCCTCGACTTGCAGCAAGCAAGCTCATCATCAAAACATTAATATAGGATCAGTAGAAGAGTATTATAAAACAAATGTCCCCTCTCCCAACCTTTTTCATATGGTGATAGAAAAAAAATATAAATATTTGTTATATTTTTATCATGAAGATGTTAAAATATCTTATGATGCCTTATTAGCTGAATAACTATGATTAAAAGATTAACTATGGTTGATACAGTCCCAAGAAATGCTATGGATGCTTTATATTTCAAACACATTTTAGATTATACTCCCAATTATTAAAATGGTTATATATATATTAGCAGCTCTTTAGTAAACTAATGAGAGAACATTCACTTTTTTAAGAAGAATAACAGAGCCTTGCAGAGGTACCATTTGCAGGACCAGGCCCAGATTTTATTTTAAAATTTTTTCTGGCCCGGGTTTTTTTTTAAAAAATTTTCAGGCCCGGCCCGGCTGGCTTAGTCCGAATTTTTTAAAATAATTATATTTATTTTTGATATTTATAGCTAATAATGGCGATTTCAAATATTTGGTTTTAAAATATACAACTCGGCTCGGATATTTTTTCTTAAAAAATTTTCAGGCCCAGCCCGGGTGTTTTTAAAAAAAAATTACGAGCCCGGCCCGGGTATATTTAAAAAAATTAAAATACGGTCCGGCTCAGGGGCCGGGCCTGCAAGTCTGTGAAAAACATACCTATGAAATACAACATCTGAAAGTAGATTGAATGATTTGGATCTTTTGAATATTCATAGACATTTAACGCCAAGCAAGGATTGATAATTGAAAAATTAGCTCAAAACATACAAAATACAATTATTCCTAAGAAACTTTTTGTGTATTAATTTATATTTACAACATTTAAATTTTTTATACTTTATATATTTTAAAAGCTCAAAAAATTCAAATTTCAATTTTGGGTCATTTAGGTGATTCATATCGTGGGTTATATTCACTTTATATTTTATGATTCACATTTAAATGCCGGTTTATATATATAATTTTTTTAATTCACATTAGTTTAAAATTGTGTATTAGAAAAGTTATTAATCCTAATAAATTTATGCTTAGTATTTTTAATTAAAAATATTATTTCTTAAAAAAATTTATTATCCCCCCCCAGACCAAATTCCTGCGTACGCGCCTGGTGCATTAAGATTTTAACTTAAATAATACTATGTAAGCCTCGAAATTTGGCAAGTAGATGAACAAACCTTTCTGACATCTATGAGCAAGATCTCCAAGCACGCATAATATTATTTTTATTTTGGCTAAAATCTAAATCTGGCTGTTTTTACAAATTGACCCAAATCGGGCTTTCTAACAACATTAATAACAAAATTAATCATAAGACAAAACATTTGTCATCTCGCATAATAGTGTTGTTAATTTGTTTGTGTTTGAATTAAACTTTTTTTTTGTCAAATAAAAATTAGTAAAACAAAAAATATTTGTAAAATATCTTTTTTTTATGACTGATGCTGATCTAATTCTGATCTTCGTAATTATTTTAAAAAAACCTACATTTTATCCTTACTTATTTTGCATGAGTAATGTCAGGAAATAATAAATTCATATTATATTCAATTTATTTAAATACTAAATCTTTTAAATAAAAACTACAGGCTAAAATATTTTAAAATATAGATACTATTCACCCGATTAAATGGAGAACTAACCTTGTGGTAAAATATAATCTCCATTTTTGCCAGAAAAAAAAATTCTTACCTCTGACGTAGACCTTGACGATAGTTTTTTCGCTCTCCCCTCTCCCATTGTAAGCCGCGCAATAGTATATGCCCGTATCTTGAATGCCTGCCCCGTTTATTTTATAGGTAGGCGCCACGGCTAACTGAACCTCTTTAACTTTATTTAGGTAGGGATCACTATTGGAGCTTTTGGCCCAATTTAAATGGGCGTTAACGATATTGCCGGAATCGGTGAAAATAGACTTTGACCATTTGAAAGAAGGCTTCGGGTTGCCAATATCGCTCGCGTTTTCTATGCCGCAAGATAGCTGGAAAGATTTCCCTTCGATTATCGTTATAATTTGGCCCATCTCCGTCCTTTTATTTTGATTATTAGCGGCAATGCTGATTGTTGGCATACCCGGTGCGTCTTTTATATAATAAGGTTTCGATTTATATAAAAAATATTATAAATATTTTATGTTTAGGCTGTAAACTATTTCTTAAAATAATTCGAAAAGCTTCAAAACTTTATGAAATTTTAACATTTAATTTAAATGATGTATCTTAAATTTTTGTCTTAGAATTATGTTTTGGATGTTTTTTCTATATTTAAAATATCTTATTTATTTTCATTAGTGTTTCGAAAGTTTGTGAATTAAATTTTTAATGTTTTGTACACAACACGGCCTTAAAAAATAATTTTAAAGAATGACATTTTACTAAATCCTATTATTTAGTGGGGAAAGGGACATAAATTAAATTTAGGTTTTGCTAAATACGTTTTCATTCTTAGATCTGCTACTGGTTATGATGTACATATACTACGGCGATTCGTTACTGATGTTTCCATACATGCAATCAGCTGTAGCATATCATTATGAATGCACACTCGTGCTATTTGAACGACGTGCAAACCACAAAATGACTCTACAGTTGATATGTAGGGACACTTATAAATACATTTATTGAATGAATCACCAATCTAGTAATATATCTATATATACATCATTGGCTACTGTTTTTTTATAATCTTATAGAAATCAATTTTTAAAAAATAAACACTTGTATAAAGATTAATGTTTATCATTGAATCATTAATTATCAATTAGAAATTGTGATGAATAGCATAATTAAACAAAATAGACATTTTTAAAAAAAAAACTTAAAGCTATGTCCAAACATGATTCCCAGTAAAAAAAACTACTATACCACAAAATTATTGATCGAATTGAATTAGGTTATAAGTTTATTTTGATAATATTAAAGTAAAAAAAAAGCTGAAAATAGTTATTTTTACATCAAAAAATTTTATTTGTAAAAAAAAAATTTATGTTACAATAGTTAGATTTTAATACAAAATGAAGTAAAAACAAAACAAAATAAGTTTGGACATATCCTAAAAATAATCAGCATTCTTCCAATTTTTCTTTTTTTAAATTTACATAAAACATGGATTTCCGATACGGATTCTCCAGCTCCCAATATGGTCGTACCCCCGGTTATCCTGAGTTTATTTTCCGCTCTACATATATAAGAACCGTTAAAATATCTGCTGACTTTGGGAACGTATAACGTTTTATTGTTACTCAAATAATCGAGGGATATTTCGCGTTCTTGCTTCCTCCAATTAATCTAATGGGAATATATACATATTTTAGAATTTGGTAAATATTAAGCTTAATTTTAATAAATATGAAAGGTCAACTTTTATAATTAAATTTTTTTAGTGTTATTATCGATCAGGAAATAGTTTATATAAAGATCCTAAATAATGCCAAATTTCAGAAGGTGCAGCCGTGGTTATTTATAAGAATATCGATTATTTATTTGAAAAATAACTATTCATCGAATATTAGCTCTTTCAGTATTATTCAATTGAATTAATCATATTATTCAAAAATTATTCGTAAATATTTTTAATTATTTGTCAAGTGTTTAGTTGTTGTGAAACTTTATATTTTTTTAAAAAACTATTTTCACATCTATTAATTATTTATTTAAATAAGTCTCACTTTTTCGTGTTTGGAAAATATTTTTAAAGAATAATTTTCGAATCGAATAACAAAAATTATACGATTCTCATATATGACTTGAAAATTGAATAGTAATAACAACCCGCTCATATAATAATCATTTTGTATCTAGTCAGAACCTCATCATCCTGAAACAGAAACTCAGTTCTAACAAGAGTGCAACTAAATTTATATGTAAATTTTTCAGAACATTGTGAGATATGTTGTGATTACTTTTTTCCCCTCTTCTTATTAATTAAGATAGTTTTGAACAGGAATTAGAACCTTCAAACCAAGATAAAATGTAAAAACTGGAACTCAGAAATCTCATTTTAAAATTTTTAGTAATCAGAACTGCCCTTTTTAAAATGTTGAGAATCGAAAATAAATTTTTCTTAGTTCCGGGGTTCAAAACTTTGCGTAATAATTATGAATATGGTATGGTTTACAAGATCTCATAATAATATTTCTAGATAAACCACTCATTCATTAAAATGTATTTTTGAAACGTCGTCGCATTACAAATCAGCAAGTGATACGGTCATTTTGGTTTCTAATTTTTAAAAAAAAATTAGAAATCACCAGCTGATTTGTAGTGATTAACATTTAAATAAATAAATCGTCAGTCTATCTAGTTATAATTTTATATCATTTGATTCTTCCTTCATCCTTAAAAAATAGATTGATTTTATTTCTTCGATTTTTGTTTTGTAGATTAAAGAATGTTGTATCACTCTAAAAGGTTCGGGATTGGCATCTATGTGACAGGTAAGATTCAAATCGTCCCCTTCGTTAATCTTGACTATTGGCTTACTCGAAACAACAGGATCGTCTGCGTAAAGAGGCAAATAAAAATTATAAAAAATTTATATGGTAGATAATCGTTTTTTTACTATCGTAAAATAGCATTTTCCAACTTAAAGAATATCATATTAAATAAGTAAAATAAAAGTTCACGCGATCCAGTTCAAAACCCAGGCAGAAATACTTTCGGACCGGGTCGGATAACTTGTGCGAAATATTTTTATGGGCCATGATATAATTTTACTTATTTTTTAAAAAATCTCCACTTAGAAGGGATAAGCTTTAAATGGCATTTTACAAGTTATTATACTTTACTATGTAAAAAAAAAATTTTAAAGAATATTTATAAATTATTCTATCCAAAAAATTTTCTTTTTTTAAAAAAAATAAACACTTACATATAACATTTATCTTCACGCTCGTATTTTGCATAGTAATATCTATATCCTCCCTACGGTTAAACCTAGGCCCGATTGACAGGCCATTAGAAGCGGAACAAGTCAATACTTTCCCCGAGTCCGTTTTTCGCATTCCATTCAATTTGACATCCAAGACTTTGATCCATTCCCCAATTTCATGATTTCCCAATGTATTGGTCGTTGTCATTTTACGATCCGATCCGTGGAACAAATCGAGTACCGAATTTTTAATCGCCTCAAATTCTTCACTAGCAAGTTCGTCTTCCGTAGGGGACCGGCCCAAACTTTTATGGATCTCTTGGCCAGCAGAAAGCGGGGTCGAGGAATTATGAATTGACCATCTCAAATCGTAAGCTCTAGGTTTTGCTATTGTAACGCATGTAATTCTAACGGGAAACCCAATTCTGGAGGAGTATGTGTCGGTGGGCGGAATGAGAAATAATTTCGGGGGGACTGATACGAATAAAAAATATGTAAAAAAATGAAAGCTTTAATTTGTCGTGAAAATTTATATCCATTGACCCTAGTTTTCCCATTTTGAAAAAAAAACGGTTAGGTCAAAATTTGGCAAGGTTATTTCATTTAAGTCTCTTATTTCTCTCCAAATAAACCTTTCTGTTATCGTGTTAGCAAATTTTTCAGATGATATTTGTTTCCGGGTTGTGTATTTGACCGTTCAAATACGATTCTGTCAATTGACCAATATCTGACCGGTCAAATAGGGGCAAATTCGAATAAAAAGATTTTAAAAATATGAGTGTTATTTTGCCTGTAATATTAATTTTATAATAATTTAAAAATTCATTAATTCTATATATAATGTTCGGCACTCCTTGACAGAATCTTACTTAATTTTTTTATCTACAAATCTTTTTGAGTATTCAGGTCAAAAACTCCTTTGAATTAACCCTAATTCGTTTAGCTACATTCATAAATTAGCAAAGATTTTTATCAGCACTAATTGCCCATATAAATAAAATCAAAAGTAAATCTTGTGTAGTTATACGATAATTTGATAAATTTTATTACATTTGACGTCCAGAGGACGAGAGCTATTGGACCATAAATGACGATCTATGGCATCATTAATAACTGAGCAAGACAGGAAGGATTTATCATCTTTCAGTGTGACATTTTTAGTTATAGTTAGAGAACTCGTTTTATTCATAGACAGAGGCGGTTGATATACCAACTTATTGTCTTGATCATCTACAATTTTTCTGTAAATTTTTTAATAAAAATAAATTTATGATTCTCGCATTTATACATTATGCACCCAAACTCATTTTCGTAAACTTTCAATTAATATATTAATTCTTTTAAAAATATAAAATTTTAACTTTGGACCCATCCCTATATGTTGTGATTAAAAATTGATATTGTTTTATGAAAATGAAAAACTTGGACTTTTTTTCTAATCTAGGAAAAAAATCCCTGTTTTTTAGGATATTAAAAATTTTTGAAAAAATCATCTAAAAATATATCCACGAAATAAAAATTCTTAAATAAAATATTTACAAATTTTGAGAAAATCAATTCTGGGGGAATTATTTTATAAAAATTATTATTGGGAATATTTTTTCCGCTTACACCCGTGTTTTCATAATATGAAAATAAGAATCAAATTTTGCATTCGTAACAATACGAATCGAATAATTTCGCTAAACAAAATTAAAAAATTTCGAGGGAAGTATTCGAATCATTTATTCTTAAAATGCATAAATAATTCGTATATTTGTAAATGACGAGACAAATTAAACGATTCGTACAAATACGAAGTTGATTCGTATAAAATGCGAATAGAATTTATTAGTAGTGCGCAGACCTACGAACACATATTCTAGTAACAAAAATAATGGTAATCTATCGATTTTAAAGCGAGACTCTTTAAGTATGTTTGCAAGGATTGATTAAAACATTAATACAATCACGAATTTACTTGTCATTAGAATATATCTCTATTTGTGGAGCGGGATTGCCGTAATTGCTAATGCATTTTATATTGAGCGTATCACCCTCGATCACTCCATCATTCGGGGCTATATAAAGATTGGGAGATTCTGGTTCGGCTAAAAAGAGTAAGCGTATTATTTATTTAAAATTTATATAATCTGCAGTTTTGCCTTAATTTCGATAAAAGATAGCAAATAATAAATAAAAACAAAAAATAATTTAGTACATAATAGCTAAGATATGATTCATATATGATCAATAGATTAGAATGGTATTGATGGTAAATTCTTGCATTCACCACCCCCTCCATCCCCTAAATTTCGATAAGCAATAAAAAAAATATAATAATTTTTGCAGAGGAAGTATTACACAAGATGGTTAAATTGAATAGATCTCCCTCCACGGTTATATCGGAAATGGTGGGATCGCGTCTATTATCATTAACAAAATTTCCGGTATCGAACAGCTTTACCACACATCTGAATTGTTGATTCATACCAGACGACACTTTAGGGATCATGTATTGACAGCTGTGATCCCTCTTGGAATCTTCCACGTCAACTTTGAGCCTAATTTCATCGGAAAGCGTTCGGTAACCCCTCGCAGATAATGATATTACGTCGAAAGAATTTTCGGCGAGAGCCCAGCTACATGAATCATTGTTAAGTTTGTAATGTCCGCTGAGTAAAAGGTTGGGATTTTTGAGCAAAAATTTACACGTGAACGTTACGCTATCGTCTAATTTTACCTTTATGTTTCGAGGCGGTTGTTCAGTGAATTCGATATACGGGTTAGTGCTATTAAACGTGGTTGCAGATCCGTAAATCGGGAAAGCTGTTTGAATATTTTATTTAAATATATAATTTCTATATATGTCCTTTTTATTTTCCTTCCTAAACTTTTTTCCTTTAGAAATAATATTTTTATTAAACCAATAATAATTACGTTTTTTGATTAGAAATCAAAATTATATTAACTTCTGCTTTACTTTACATGGGGATTTCCTAACTTTTAAAGCTGACAAATCACGTGACATTTGAAATTAATAACTTCTGATTTTCGTTCAAAAATGGTTTAAAAGATATGGGTAAATCACTTATCTTTAGCCAATTCAAAAAGGTTTCCTAAGCTAAACTTAGGGGTTTTAAGTCAATTTTTTAAAAAATTATAAGCTTGGCTAAGCCACATTGGAAGATTATTAAAGTTAGGGGATTTAACAACGCTATCGGTGAAAATTGTTTGAAATCCATAGGGCAGGTATTAGGCACCATGTTGCCGAAATATATTTCCGACGAATTTCAAAATTTTTTAAAAGTAACCAGCCTAATAAATACTGACGGTATATGATTTTAAGACAACACCTAATCAAATCTTATTATATTAAATGAATATAAAAATAAATTAAAGTATACATAAAATTTGAAATCTAAATAAAACATTTATAATAATAAAATGCTCATTTTTAGGTAAAATTTGATAAAAAAATATTTCTTATTTTAAAAAAAAAGATGAACTCTGGAACTAAAGATTTAAATGTCATTTTTGTGATTTTTTTAAGAAACTTTTAGAAGAATCGATTAATATATCCAAATCAATTTTTATTTTGTATAATTCTTTTAAAAAAATTTATCCTATCCTACACACTGCATAGAGCGTAGTCAAAGTAAGCCCTCGAGATTTGGCAAATAGAGGTCCATGCCTTTTACTATCTATGAGCAAAATCTCCAGGGTTACATAATATTATTAAATCGGGCCGTTTAGCCACACTTGCCTACACTATACAACCTCCCACTCTCTCGAAATAAAAATCTGAATTTGATTAAAAAAATTATTTGGCAATCTTCTAATAGGAGCAGTAAATAAATAACGCTTTATTTATAACTTTTCAGCTGATAAGGCCCTGGTTTTGTAAAAAAAAATATGTTCTACGTTCTACCCTGGCTTATTAATTTACATGCCGATTCCTGGCCGCTGGTCTCTGATAAATAATGATCACTATTAATTTTGCAACCTGCTCAAAGGCTTTCAATAAAATTTATGGGAAGGGAAATGACAGCTACGCTTTTTTTCCCTTAGAATAATAAATCAGGCCGTGGCAAGTATATACAATAAATTTAATAAATTAAGCGATCCAGTAAGAACAAAAATAATAATTTAAAAATACAAATCTTATAACACGCATAAATTAAAGCGTTTTTGTTTAGCGTTTCTATTTCAAATAATTTTTTTAAATGGTAACGTGCTCATTGGTAAACAACGATTTTTGGTGTTAAAAAAAACTTAAATAGTTTATAATAATTAAAGGTTTAAATATAGAATAGTAGAACGCTAAACACAAGTGCTCAGTTTGCAACCTAATCCCTATTAGGCAGAGCATTAATTATAGTAGGCCTTTGGGTCCTTTTATCGTAGGTCATTAGCTATATAAAAATAATTTTCTTTTTCCACTTTTGTTTTATACATAAAAATTGCTTTTTTCTCGAAAATTTCAATTATAAGTCGTTATTTTAAAAAATTATTTTACTTTTACTAATTTTCCTTTCAAATTCTTGCATATAGTGATATATTGTATAAAAAGGTGTATTGGGGGGGGGGGGTGGTCAGTCTTATTGGCTTAAGATGGCATTTATGAAAACAAAATGAGACCAAAGATTTCGCCTGATATTATGATTCAAATATGGCAGGTTATGGCCAGTCGACCGATTAAAAAAATTAATATTACAAAAGGCATGAAAAGAAAACTGAATAAATTATATATTTTTTACATCTTATTTTTTTTTAAATTATAATTTATAAATGTTCCTGACAAAAAATAATGGATAATTTATTAGGTATGCTAACATGACCAGCTGGTGAAAGATGAAGGTCCATCATTCAATTTTGCCAGTGGTGAAAATCTCTTTTTCTTTTCTTAAAAAATAAATTGAAACTATCTCTAAATAAGTAGAAATTGAACAATTTAATATATAATAGGAAATGTTTTAAGGCTAGTGCTAAAAATTAGATTTATTCGTTTACCCTTAAATATCCGCAGCAATGCTAACTAGCTATCATTTAATTAATTTTTTTTACTTACACATATATCATTTCGAAGGAGAATATTTAATTTTGAATGACGAACAGAAATGTGCTGGACAAAAAGACCCTGGGAAAAATAGACGCTGACGAATTTTAGAATACTTAAAAAATAAGTATAAAATATCCACCGGTCTTTTTGTGTAATCAGACAGATATCCTGGACAAAAAAACCTCGGACAAAAATACCCCCAACAAAAAAACACTGGGCAAAAATACCCGGACAAAAGTACCTCCAGCAAAAAAATATTAGACAAAGAACCGCCATTTTTCAAAAATATTTATTATAAAATTGGGGTATATTGGCTCAATGCCATTTTGTTCTTTAGGTATTTTATTCAGTCAGGGCACTTTTGCATTTTGTCAGTGATCTCTTGTTGTGCACGGGTATTTATAATGTTTTTTCCAGAACTTCTGTCAGTGATTTATCTAGTTATTACCAATATTAAGTTATTGTGTAGTGAAAATCAAGTGGGCCTTGTCCTGGGTATAAGATAGACTGAGTCTGATTGACTCACCGGTTTTTCAGACGGTTCTCTTTAATTAATAGTAGTTTTACTGGGGGATATTATTACTCGAGTCCCGTTAAAATTTTATGCAAATATAAATCCTAATTATACGACTTTTCCGCATTTTTAAAAACACTTTGTCAATTTCTTGTTAACTTTATATATAAAACCAAATCAACGTAAAATGAATATACTGATTTATTAATTGGGGTTAAATAAATTAGTAAAAAAAAACTTCTAATAAAAACTTTACATAAGGAGGGTAAAAAAATATAAACAAAATAAGTAAAGCAAAGATAGGATAATTATGTTTTAATTATATATAGTTTCAACAAATCATTATGAATACATAAAACTCTCCCAAATCAATCAATAAAATAGTATATATTTTTAAGGTGTTACATACATTCTTCTCTATATTTATAGATTTTAAAAGATCATTTTTTTTGTTCGAACTTATATTATTATCTTATCATTATAATTTTTATAATCACAAATAATAGTTTATCAAAAATATATAAATTTTAAACAAATGAATTTTTTTTATTCTGCAAAATCAATTTCCTTTTCGGAATACTACTATAAAAAAAAGCGTTAAAAAAACAATGAAATGAAAATTAGCTATTTAATTGCGTGTGGTGGTGTGACATTTTTGAACGTTTTTTTTCAATTTTTCATTATATTATAAATGTAATATACACAAAAAAAATACAATCCGACCTAGCCTAGCTATAAAAAAAAATTATTTTTAACTTATAATAAGGATTTCGATAAATCTGATGGTGGTTTTAGTTTATTATTTAATAAAATATCAGGAACAATGAGATATTAAAAAAATTGAATAGATTTTTATGGTAATATTTAAAAAAATAAAAGGAAATTTAACTAAACTTAAATAAATATTCGTTGTTCGATACGTATCCGAGTCAATTGGTATATTAAGAATACGAATAAATTATTCTTTAAATAAATTGTTTTTTCATTATTCGGGATAAGTAACCTTATGTAACTAGTTTTAGAGTTAAATATATAATTATTGTGACTGCTACTAGAGTAATTTTTAAGAACACTAGAACCATATTTATATTTATTCGTACACCGACATAACTATGAAGGGGAGGGTTAATCCCCTCCTCGAAAATTTAAGTTTTCGTGAAAAATCATCTTAAGTTAAATAAAATGATCTCTCTCCCTCCATTCCTATAATCCTCCAACCCCCTTTCTCATCGAAATAAAAAGAAAATATTATGCCAATCTTTATTAAATGCCTGCAATGCCCGACTTCCTGACCCACTCCATGGGCCAGGTAACGTCTGAAAAAAATTGGGCCCAATTGGGCTAAACTGGATTATTGATGTATTTTGATATTTGATAGAAGTGAAATCCCATGAAGTGTTGTGTTTTTACAATATTATAAATAATTGTTTACTTTGGTGTTCAACTACACATACTTGAGGCTAAGCCTTGTATTTAAAAAAAACCCTGGCAAATCCCAGTAGTTTTAGTAAAAAAAAATGAAAATGAGTTGGACCTAGTACACATTTGGCCAAAAAAGCTAAATTCCAACCGAACCGGGCCTGAAAATTTTGCCATTTGCAGACTTATAATCTCTACGTATTTTAAAATATGTAAGTAAAAATAAAGCTAATTATAATAATGACTAATTAAAATTTTTCATACAAAAAAAGGCTTGTTTAAAAAAAGAGTCCAAAACCAGGAAAAAATAAACCAAAGCCCCTCCAAAATTATGGGAAAGCTACCCTTCCCCTTAAGAAGATCTTGGATAAAGTACGCAATACACAGCGCTGTAAAGTGAACTTCTCTTATCTCAATGACTAAATAGGCAGAGCTCTGCAAATCAGCCAAAAACCAGCATGGAACTTACAAAAAATTAAAAATCAGGTTAAAAAAATTAGAGAAAGATTGGAATTAGAACATCTCTGGGTTTATCAGTAGGGTTGGCCAATAAAAATTAATTTGATCGAGATAATAACCCTCATTTTTTAAATAAAAATTAGTGATTTAAATCAATATTTTCAATACAATTCCATTTATCAAATCTGATCAAAATATTGAAATATAGTGAAAGACAACGACTTAAATAATAGGCTAATTTACGTGTAGCTAAAAAAAATTTCAATTTTATCAAATAACCATAGAATCATTTTAAAATTGATTAGATTGTTTATTTTATTTTTTATGCAATATTCTGTTACAAACAATTGATTTATCCTAAGAAGAAAAAGATTA